CCTCCTTCGGCTCCGGGGCTTTTCTGGGGATCCTTAAGGAACTTGTCTCTGCCGTCCGAGCCGTCCGAGCGCAAAGAAGGCAACAGATCACAGCCTATTGCCGTATCTCATAGTGTGCTATAGTATATCATAGTGTGTTATAGTATGGTCATAGTACGGTTATAGTATGGTTATAGTATGGTTATAGTACAAATGCCAAATCGAGTGCTTGCGAATTTATGGGCCCATGGGGCAACACCCTTCCTCTTCTTGTCCGACTAGTGGGGCTCGGGCGGTCGTGGCTGAGGGAAGGTTTCTTGGACCAAAGCCGCTGAGCACGACCAACGGCCCGATCCGTTATCCGGAGCATGGAGCAACTGGGTGAAGAGGAAATCTTCCGTCATGGGAATCGCTTACAAGTGCATTGGTGAAGCTTGCAAGGGCTGAAGACTTCCTCTCTCGCGCCCAACGCACCAAGACAAGCCGGACGACTGAAGCCTCAATTCCTAAACCTGAAATCTTAAGCCCTAAACCCTAAACCCTAGCCAACTAACCCCCTAGCCCCTAAACGCGAAGCCCCAAACTCGATTGCCCCGAGGTCATCGAACCTCAGCAGGAGCCAGGGAATGGCGCCAGCGGCCGAAGTGTGTGGCTCCAGGCAGTTGAGGTCCATGGCAGCTTGCCTGGTTTAGGGTTTAGGGTTTGTGATACTTGTTTAAAATTGCAATGTATTCACCGTTTCTGTGCCACATCACTTCATATCATATAATATCATACCATCTCCTAAAATATCATTCTGTAACATATCATATCACATCATGCAATATTATATCATATCATATCATATCATATCATATCACATCATATCATATCATATCATATCATATCATATCATATCATATCATATCATATCGTATCATATCATATCATATCATATCATATCATATCATATCATATCATATCATATCATATCATATCATATAGTTTCATCCAATGTGATGTCATATCGCAACATCTCATGTCATGCCGTATCATGTCTCATCATATCATAGCATATCACATCATATCATACTCCTATGATGCGGTGCTATGTTATGTTCTATTATCCTTTGCTACGGTATCTTATGCTGTGTTGAGTTATGCAGTTTTGTATTTTTCTACTGTTACATCATACCAGGTCGCGTCATATCCCGTTATGTTCTATGGCATCATATTCTGTTACATTGTGTTTCGTTGTGCCACATCCTAGCTGCTATTCTGTCCCAGGATTCTGGCGGGTAGGTTTCAATTCATCCCTAAACCCTAAGCCCGAAGCCCCTAAATCCTAAACCCTACACCCTAAGCCCCAAGCCCTAAACCCTAAACCCTAAACTCTAAATCCCAAGCCCTCAACCCTAAACCCCAAACCCTAAGCCCTCAACCCTAAACCCTAAACCGTAAGCCACAAGCTGCAGGGAGCCGCAGGAAGCCTTCTTGACATCTCTTCGGAGGATGGACTTCGGGTCCATAGAAGCAATGCCGATCCACCCACCCACTCCAACCTTTCAAGTCTTTCCTCCCTTTGTTTCGGGTTTAAGGTTTAAAGTTTAGAGCAGTTCAATTAAACTCGAAACCCTAAGCCCTAAGCTCCGAAGCCCCCAAAACCCCAAGCCCTAAACCCCAAGCCCTAAACCCTAAACCCTAAACCCTAAACCCTAAACCCTAAACCAGCAGCTCAAGGGTTCCGCCTTTCCCAGGCCAGCCGGGCTTTACCAAGATGGGTGAGCAGGGGTTGAAGCTGCTGCAGGAGGTGGGGTGCGACCCAACCAGTAAGAGGGTTTAGGGTTTAGGGGTTTAGGGTTTAGGGTTTGGGGTTTAGGGTTTAGGGTTTAGGGTTTAGGGTCTAAACCTTAACCCTCACAGTAACTAGTTGTAGCGGTGACGATCCGCGCCTTTGCTGATGCCAGAGAGTTCTGGTCTTGTCGCTGGTATTGGTCACGATTGTTGGCATACTGCGTATCATGCTGGAAGATGCCCAATTTGAGTTCTGAAGGTATGGATCGTGTTCCGTAGTGCACTTCCCGGTTGTTGCCTGTGAGTGTTTGACGTTCTTGCGATTGTTCTTTCACTTGCTGTTGCCCTTGTCGCTGATACGCCACTGCATCGGACATTGCTATGACACTGATGGCCTCTTCGACTAAGGGTTCGCCATGAGTTTCACATGCATGGTCGTAAAGCGGATGCCAATGATGCGTCGTGAATGTCACCGTCTGTGATGATGACTAACTTGCAGCATTATCGTGACTTCACACTCAAGTAGTACTTTCACAGAAGTTGATTTCAGATGCGTTAGATAGGTTATTTTGTCATCTGCTACTGTTGTGAGGTGTTTCTTCGTAAGATTACCAGCTCATCGAGGGTCAGGACAAAACGCCAGCCTGACTGCTAAACGACGACTTGATGTCGAGCGATGATTCTGCATTCTCGTTTCTCCATCATGATGAGCCGATGTGAATCATAACCCTAAACCCTAAACCCTAAACCCTAAACCCTATACCCTAAACCCTAAACCCTAAAGATGAAACAGGTTCGCTGGCGAGTTGGTGGTCCCAACGCTGCACGCGCCAGGCCGTTTGGGATCCTCCTTCCCCCCCTTCGTCGTGATCTCTTCTTCTTCTAACCCAAGCCGACTCTAACCAAAATGCAGGTGTCCTCAGAGAGGGCCAGACTGATAGTAAGGCAGCACACACCAGCGAAAATACCACTTTGGAACAGAGGAAAGCAACCAGCAGCAATAGCTATACTAACAGCACTGCAGGGTGTAGCACAAGGGCCCTTTCCAGAAATTCTGCCGGCAAAGTATACCATACTGTACTAGAGCATAGCAGATTGAAGAGCCATGTCAGAGCTTCCTCCGGGGCTTAGGCCGGGTTATTACTAGCCCGGCTGTGTGGGGGTCTGTGTAACTTACTGTTGCGCTGTTCGCATTTTGAAGTAGCGACAGCAGGAGAAGGAAGCGCTGGGGAAGCCAACAGGCGTATGCAATCATTAGTGCAGCAGTATCGGTCGCAGCAGTGGTGGCAGTGGTAGCAGTAGCAGTACCGGTCGCAGCAGAAGTAGCAGTAGCAGTGGCAGTGGCAGTGGCAGGGGCAGTGGCAGTGGCAGCAGCAGCAGTAGCAGCAGGAGCAGGAGCAGTAGTAGGAGTGCCGGTTGTGGTGGTAAGGGTAGCCGCAGCGGTAATAGCAGCAAGAGTCACAGAGGTCGCCGCCAAGCAATGTTAGTGGTAGTGGAAGTCCTATTTTACTTGTAACGCGCATTAAGATTTGCTAGTGCTAGCCTGGATGCAGTAGGTTTCATTGCGTCAGATTCAACAGCTTTTCGTGTGAATGGAAGTACTGCGCAGTGAGAGTTGCGTACGCCGTGATGATCACCTCGGCAAGATCTTCGGTTTTCATTACTAGCACAACTTGAGAGTTGGTAATGTCAAGATTTAAGGCGACACTTAACTTAAAACTTAAAGCAGTCTTTGGGTCCTGTGAAGAGTGGAGGCTCATCCTCTACTTCTTCATCCAGGCCTCCTATTGCTTTCGGTTCAAGGCCGCCGACTCGACTTGCTTCACTTTGGTTCAGACTCTTTTGTTGCCCTAAACCCTAAACCCTAAACCCTAAACCCTAAACCCCTAGGCTCGGGACATCCATGGCCATGCGTTGCATGTTCTGGCGGTGTACGATGCAGAGCCTTGGCATTGTGCCTGTGGGCCTTTTTTGGAGTGTTTTGGGTCTAAGGGTTCTGCCTGCATCCGAATGGCTCTCCATCAGGACGGGCGGCGGAGCTCCGGGAACTTTGCTGGCGGGAAGGGGGGAGGAATGGAGCCGTGCAAGTTACAGGCAAGAAATGCGGCAGAATTTTGGAGACTTCGCCAGGCCCCTCGGCATCTTCCCCTACTGCAGTCCTGTCTGGGCTCCTGAACTACGTGGACCTGGCCGAGGAGTGAGTCTTGGCAGCAAAGCAAAAACTGCAACCTACAATGTCATCCAGTGGGTCTTACTGTTGTCTAGAATGATACATGCACATGTACAAACATAAGCACGTACTGGAAATGGAAGCAGTTGTGTATACATGCACGTTTTGTACATACACTCAGACACACCTACACACACATACATACCTGTGTACATGCATACATACATGCATACATACATACATACATACATACATACATACATAGTTACGTACATACATGTACATGCCTACGTGCATACTTACCTACGGACATACATTTCTACATACCAACATGCCTACATAGATACCTACACATCCCTACATGCATGCATACATACACACGTATTACTTGCATATGCACGCATCTATGCCCGCATACATGAAAAATTACCTACATACGTACACCTATGCATACATACGCACACCCATGCATATGCACATGCACACATGTATACCTACACACTTTGAATACATGCACAAATATATTCATACGTACCCCCATGCATACATATTTGCATGCATACATACGTGCATACGTACATACATAAGTACGACCGTACGTAGGTACATACATACATACATACATACATACATACATACATACATACATACATACATATACAGACAGACATCCATGCATGTGTACATACATGCATAGCTACATAGCTAATGTAGCTACTTTAGCTACTTACATACAGTTGTACATCGACGAATGGATACATGCATGCATGCATGCATACATACATACGTACAATCAGACACACACACACATGTACGTATACACAAGGGCATACCATACACATTAGCAGGCAATGCAGTTATATACGTGCTCATAAGGACATGCGCCCACATAAGCATACCCGTAGATACATACATACGTATATATATATATATACACACATACAGATATATACATATGTACACACACACACACGGAGGGTGATCCTTAAAGAGCTTGAAGCCGAGGCTGGTTCATCGCCCACAACAAGATGGGCGCCCAACCCCAGTTTGCATTGCAGGGTCTTCCGGACTTCGGGGCTGACGGTGAGGAACCTCGCATCTTTATGGGTTTAGGGTTTAGGGTTTAGGGTCTTGGGGTTTAGGGAGTTTCCGAAAATTAGGGTACTGTATATTAAGGATCCTTTGTCTAAGGGTACTATATTAGGGTCCCCTATTTTCGGAAACCCCCTTCGTGTTGTTTTCATTATTCTTATCACTGTACGAGACTATGCTTTACCATGCTGTAATACCATGCTGTACTATACTGAAGTGTGTACATATGTCTGATTGTATTTCTCGTACATTATTGGAGCTTTGAGGTGTTCTTGCTTTCGAGGCTTCAGGTTTACCCCTACGCGCTCAGGGTTTAGGTTTCTGCGATTCGATTGGTAGGGTGGTGGTGGTAGTACTAGTAGTAACAGTAGTAGTAGTAGTAGTAGTAGTAGTAGTAGTAGTAGCAGTAGCAGTAGCAGTAGCAGCAGTGGTAGTAGTAACCACCCACACCGCTGTGTAGCTCGTGGCTTTGACCGAGGTACCTGTGAGGCCCTGCACTTGGCAGCGGGTGTCGGCAATGTGGCCTTCCTTGACTTCCTGGGAGAGGTGCACGGAGAGATGGGAGTTTCCGAAAATAAGGGGTACCTTAATATTGGGGTCCTTATAATAAGGATCCTACTATTTGGGGTACTAGATTAGGGTCCCCTATTTTCGGAAACCCTAGGGTTGTGGGATCAGAGTTCTGCAGCATTCCGTGAAAAGGTGGCCGTTTCTATTTGGCTTGTTTCTGCCGCGTCTTCGCCGCAGGGTCGTAAGTTTTTTCTGTGGCCTTGACCAGGTTTTCGTTGCGTCAGCTCCAAAGCATTGCTAGGCGAATGCCGATGTTGATGCGAAGACCCGATTCGATGGCAAGGCGGGTTCAATATATTGATTGAATGTATGTGTCAACGGAAGGACGTGATGTTGTTGCTGGCATCGACAGTATTGAAAGTTGGTTCCACTATCGGGTTGTCAACCCTCTGTGGTGCTGACTATCATGTCCGGTGGGACATCGCGAGTACACCTTGCTTGTTTGTGGTCATCATCATGATTGCAGCTTTGCCGATGATGAACACATGGTGATGGCGATGGTGACGTTCATGAAGCACTACTGCTGCTTAGATGAAGATGGTGTTGATGTTGATACTGGCGACGTGCTTGTTGTTTGCAAGACGTACCACGATACTACCACGAAAACAGCAAACGCATTTCCATCACCGCCGACATCGACGCCACCAGCGCCAACCACCGCCGTCGCTTCTATCGCACCACTGTCGTCACCGCCGCCACCGCCATCGCGTAGCAGCTGCCGCTGCTGCCAGCATAGGCAGAGCCGGCGGAACCAGCAGAACCCCGCGCCCAGTACCACCAGAACTCTCGGCGCCACGAGCACCACCAGCATCGACGGCACACCAGCATCAGCAGCACCGACAGCATCGGAAGTTGTTCCAGCACCATCAAAGCACCAGCACCGCACTACGAGCGCCACGAGCACCACCAGAGCATTGGCATCGCCAGCACCACCAGCACCCACCACCAGCACCCACCACCAGCACCCACGACCAGCACCACCAGCACGTCACCACAGCCACAACGGCCATCGACACCCGTTAGCACCGCGACCAGCGCCACCACCGCCACCGCCACCCGCCACCCGCCACCGCTGCCACCACCGATACCATGACCTGTAAGCAGCTGCAGTGGCAAGAGGTGTAGGAGAAGGAGGAGGAAGAGCAGCAGTCGTACTGCTGGGCTGGCAGCAATGAAACCAGCAACCCGCTGGGGATTGCGACTACTGCAATTCTCCGGCCCGTCCTGCTCCTCTTGCTTATTTCCTGTGCGCATCTCCGCCCCAACGCGGTTGACTGTGACTGACCTGCTCCTGCCACTATTGTTCTGATGTCCAGATTAGCTGTGTTGTTGCCTTACTGTTCCTTTTCTTCATATGCTCCCCACCTGTACCATAATTACTGTGACGGTGTTTCATCATGTAACGCCCGGCATGTATGGATGTTGCTACGTTTGGCTGGTGCCTGAGTTCTTCAGTCGGCAGTGTAGGGTCACGGCTTCGGCTTCTCGCGGTGGCAGGACAATTATACAGCGCTTCATGAAGCAGCTTTCTTCAAGCAGGACACTGCGTCAGGGGTGTGAACGCACTTTGTGTATCTGCTTTGGTCAGAGTTTCAGTGCTGCACACGTGCGATTCCTTTTTGCAGACGGCGGCAATGATGAAGCTGCTTACCATGCGCGCTGATGTGCCTGGTCTTTTCAGTCCTTCGCTGGCTTTGAGTTTATCTTGTTGACTTGAGCATCGTGCGGGTTAGATGTATGGCTGGTTCGACCTCCGCGGAGTAGCACTGAAACACCGCCTCCCTGCAAAAGGCAGGGGCGAAGAATAAACCAAAGGCCTCGTCCTTTGGGTCCCTGAAGTTCAGGGGTTTAGGCTTGCCTGAAACCCTAAACCCAACACAGGGTTTAGGGCTGATTATTATTGCCGTTATTATGAGTTCGATATTGCTATGATTAGGATGATGACGATGATAATGATGATGACTAGTATTATCATGATTATTACCGTTATAATTATGATTAGGATGATGATGATGATGATGAGTATTA